TTTAAGGTGGTTAATAATTTTCTTTATTCTAGGTGACATTCTTTGCTTTTCCCCTTTTCAGTTTCCCAATTTCTTTCTGTACCTTTTTTCTTTCTTTTCCTCTTTTTAAATTTAGGTTTACTGGAGAAGCTCTATTAAAGTAGATAACTTTTATGTTGGGGAAGAGAGTAAAATCTGAAGTATTTTTCTGAAAGCTACAGATGTCAAAAGGACTAGCATGAAGAATGGTTAGAAGTATGGATGAGGAAGAAAGGTCACACTTTTGCTTAGTGCAAGTTTAAGTGGCAAATAAAAACCTTGCTTGCATTTTCCCAAAAGTCTGGCTAAAGACAAAACAACAAAACAACCATTTTTTTGTCTCATGATTCCTTTCCCTTAGAAAAAAGTAAAGATTCATCATTTTTCTCAAAGAGGTTTGCAATGAAGAAAAGATAAGAACTATTAAGACTACGAGTAAATAGTATATCCTACGATATTGTGGCATTGCCACGTGGGGCAGAAGTAGCAAATACTCATGAAAAGAGTATAAATTACTGTTTTGCACAATGTGAGTAGGGTGCTGTTTTATACAAATGTCATAAGCCTTTAAAATTCTTACCTTGCCAAAAATGTTATTAGAATGGGAATCATTGCTACAATGATCACAAAGGAGGGAATCCATTGTTTGTCTTTTTCATGGTATTTGCCAAGTTCCCCAATATCTGCCCAGCAACAAACCTGAAGCTAAACCCTGAAAGAGGTGCCAGGGAGCATGGACCTCAGTTCCTTGCATTGGAACTAAGATGGGTTTTCCTGTGTGGCTTCTACGATCATATTATTCACACTTAATTTCTTATACTTGTTTAGAATTAGTCACTGTATTGGTTTTGCTAGATAATAATGAACGAGAGTCTTTGTGGATATTCTGCAAGGGAGAGAAAGACACATAAAAAGTCCACGGGCATGTGCTCTTACAGCTGTGTATCACGGCCAATGGGAACACAGATGGGTGTTGTTAAATGCAGAGTGCTCCTGTGACTGCAGAGGTGAGGAGAAAGCCAGCCAGGGAATATGTGGCGGGAGCCAGGTTAGAACAGGTTATGACATGCATGAACAAAAAGCACGTGGGAATGAAAAAGTGCATGGAATAATCAGGAAGCGATGGGGCAGAGTGGCAGAGATGGGGAAAATTTATAGGGAGAGGAATCTCTTCCCTCACACTTTCCAAATTATTGTGAGAAATTAAGGAGTGGGACAGGAAAGAGAAAAAGGAAATGAGTACAGACACATATAATAACCATGACATTTGCTGAGTGCTGGGTAGGGTGCTACGTGTTTCACCACTCATTAGCTCTCTTAGTTTTATTCTGTGTAACTCAGTAAGGTCGATATTATTGTCTCCATTTTACAAATGAAGAAACTAAATTAGCAAGGTTATTATACTTCTGAAGATACACTGCTAGGAGGGATTGAGTCAGAATATGAACACAGATGTTTCCTAGTCTTTTAATGCCCAAGGTTTGAGTGGGTTTGGTAGGTAAAACGCCACTCCCCCCTACCCCCCCAAATACAATAGAGGCTCAGGGTTGAACCAAGACAAACAGGCAATGATGCTGGAGTTGGGATCAGGCAACAGCATCCCTTGGTCCAGATGAACTGGAGAAGTGGGCAGGTGTGGGATCTGGGCCTTGAAAGCCACATGGATTCCCTGCTGGGGAAGGTTGACAAGCCCAGTCTGAGGAAGTTGTTCCTTTGTTCCTTTACCTTCACTGCTATGATTTCAACCTGAGCTTTCACGAGTTTAAAATTTATTGCCACGTCTTAAACATTCCCATTTGTTTTGTTCATGACAAATCCTGAATGTGGGGTTGGCTTTCCCCTGCCTCAATTAGGGATTTACAGAATGCAAAGTTTTACTACTCTATGTCTATAAAAAACAAAGAAAAATATATATGTATTTATCTCATTTTCAAAAGACCAAGAAAATTTGATTTTCCAACATTTCTGTTCTCTATGTAAATGTTTCTTTATATTGTAGTGGCTCATTAAGATCATAAAGTAATCAAATGAGCCTTACCTCCCTATCTGAAATGTTCTTTTTGCTTCTCAATCTCCAGGGAGTTAAGAAAAAAAAGAAAATGTAACAAATTCTCAAAACTCACAGCAAATTCTCGCACCCATTTGGACATCATTATTCTATCCTGTGAACCCCTTTACAGCACTTTGTGTATATTTTAGTACTTGTCACATCTGGCCTTGTTTCTTACTTGCCTCAGCAGCTTCCTAAGATGGGGTGATGCTCACTCTTCACCCTCTATACTGTATACCAATGAAAGGCATACAGTAGTTATTGCATTGAGCATCTAACAATGTCACATTGTCAAAGAGAATGACTCAATGATTTAATTTTCTTGGTACAGTATAATCTCACCACTTTCTTTTGTTAGGATACAAAATTATCTCAATAAATGGGAATCCATTTTCCCAAAGTCTACTTTCCAGAATGCTGTCTTTCTCTCTCTCCCTCCTGCTTCCCCTCACAGTGCTCATGGTTGGGGTCCTGTTCTTTAATTTTTGGTTGGCTAAGTTTGAGCCAAACAGAAAAGTTAGGCTAGGCCAAAAGTAACATCAAGGGAAGCTGAGTTTCTAGCTCCCTTTCTGAATGTCTAAGGAGGAGAGAGACCCAAATAAGGAGCTAAGAATGAGGCTCTACTATTTAATTTTCATAATCTACAAGATAATACTACATTCATTCATATAAATCACCTATGGTCTAATTTATATTTTCTACTGTAAACCTTACTAATCGTATGACAAGGTCTCAGTAGCCATATTTCTCATCAGAAATAATGAGAACATGTTAAAAATAGTTCACTCTAGTCCTTCTGAGTTTGTAATAGGTATTTCATTTCATCCAAAGTACATCTGCTTATGTTCTGTGCGCATATTTGAAAGCTAAAATAAGGGGAACAAATCATTAAAAAGAACTTTTGTTTTAAGGAAGTGTTGGCTCAAAAACGCATGTTTACATAAAACATGCTTCTGATAGCTGGAGATGCAGACATTCTTGACTTCTGGGCTGAGTAAGTGGTGTTACCTCTGTTGATCCTGTGAAGGCCACTTTGTCTATGTCCATGTGAGAAGAGATGGCTGCTCCTGCAGTGGGCCCGTAACCAGGGACAATGTTCACTACTCCAGGAGGAAACCCTGCCTGAGAGGT